CCGGAACGCGGCGGAACCGCGTTCCGGCACCTTTTTCCGGGCCGGCCGCACCGGAAATAGCCCCTCCCACACCGGAAATAGCCCCTCCCAAATTTTACTTGCATTCCTGTTCTCTAAAGGGGCGGTCCTAGGGTTTGATGAGGGCGTGGCCAGGTTTGAGTTCCGCCACCTTTTCTCCGAGAAAAAAAGCCCTGCCCATCAGGATTGAATTCCAGGTTGTGGGCAGTGTTGTAGCATGTAATTCTACATTCTAACCATTGCATCACCAGGAACATGATGAGATTATGGTATGGTATCGTATGATATTTATTTTCTTTGTACATTGTCCATGATTACATAGTTGAGTTGAGCAGTATATTAATGGTTTAATAAATTTTAAAAAATCATTTCCTCAATGCCCCCATTACTTGATGCTTATCTTTGTTCGACTGCAGTACTAGCCTTGCTAATGTACTTTTTAAGTCCAAGAGAATAATACTAATTTGATTCCTTACATTAATGGATATTTGATTGTATAAAGATTAAAATTTATTCTTATTTCAAAATACAAAAGCAAAATGCAACTTTTATGTTGCAAAGACATTACTCTTCTTTTTAGTTACAAAGGTACCTATTTTTAAAACTATGAAGTTATATGTTAGTTGTATACTTAATATTTAAGTGCTACTTTTACAAAGGTTGTTTTAGAAATTACAGTCTTAAATTATACTGGTCACTTTTCTTTCTCATAGGGTTTTTATAGACATAAAACAGGTAACGGGAGTGCAGTTTAGACCATCTTTAGTCTTAAGGATATAAATATAGCATAAACATCAATTTAAGGAATAAAGAATATTAGATTAGTATATCAGGATTTTTGAAACTGTTTTGTAGGATCCTAGGTTGCCATGAGAACTAAGAGTTTTGAAGTTTTGAATACAATCAATTTTCTATCACTAGAACTTTGCCTGTGGATTAGGCGTTCTAGGGATTTTTCTTTTTAATGAATAACTTCTGTGGCCTAAAATACTTTTAAAATCCCATGTAGGATATTGCCTTGTATCTGATACCTGCTGCTTGCCCTCTTCTTTTTTCTAGCCAGAGTTCTTACAAGAAGCCCATTTAGTTATGGCCAAATTAAATTATGTAGAAGGCGATTACAAAGAAGCTCTTAATACATATGCTAAAGTGGGAATTGATGACATGCAGCTTGCTGCTGTACCTCCTTATCGCTTAAGAATGATTGCTGAAGCATATTCAACCAAAGGTAAGATGACTTTCAATGTAATTATGACTTGCTCTCCCCCTTTATTTATTTTTTTCATTTCTCACTATACTGAAACTTGATGACACTCTAAAAGAATGTAAATGACCAGATGTCTGCAAGGAATATAAACCCTTCCATTCCCTACCATCCAGTCAGAGCTGAAGAAGTTTCTTGGATGAGAAGTGAAACATTTTCAAAGAAAAAGAAAAACAAGAAAGTCCAATTGCCTCCTGAAAAAGCACCTTTGGGACAACCCTGACCTCGATGACTGAGATTCTCCATAGACACTGAAACTTGATAGAAAGCGTGTTATTAATTCTATGACATGGAGCAGGGGTTCCCAATCAGGGGTGCGAGATGATATTCCAGGGGGTGCGAAAACTTGGGTTTTCAAAATTATAGTGTATGTGCATAATTCGTTGCCATTATTTTGAACTTTTGTAAGGGGTGCGAGAATACATTAGAAGTGTTCTAGGGGTGCAGGAATATATCAGAAGCATTCTAGGGGTGCGGAATATAGAAAAGGTTGGGAACCACTAACATAGAGCAAAAGACATAAAGCAAAGAGAGGGATGCATTATTAGTAAAGATAAGAAACCTAGCAAATTTGTTTTAAAAATGCACAGTCAAGAACAAATACTTTTTAAAATTAGACCTATATGGTTCATATTCATTCAAAGTACACTGTAATTTTTTTCTGTGCAGAGGGATTGCTTCTGTCAAAAGTATTATATTAGAGTTATAGATTATGATGAAATCATTCTTGTCACACGAACAATACAATTTGCCTTCTCTGCTTTCTGTGTTTGGCCTTTTCCCCAAAAATGTGAGATGTTGTAACAACAGGAAGTTTATAATTGTCTCCAAAGTCTTGCAGAATTCTGATGCCTCACACTTGTGAATGGATGTTTTTATAATTTCTCTTGTGCTGAAGCCAAGCTAGAAATTAGTTGCCATATTACCTAACATATATTGATGTGGAAACTCTGTGGTCTAAAATTGTTTTCAGAGTGTTTAAAATCTTCAAGTGGAAGTGCTCTTATTGAATAAATTTTTATTTCAAAATATTTTAATTATATCCTGGAACTTTCCTATTATAAGTATTTGAATGCTATGGAAATAAAAAGCATAACTCCAATTACAATTCTGTGCTGACAGAGCACAGAAAAACTCAAAGAAGTAATGCAAGATGGGACAATGTGGAGAGACCTGGTCCATAAAATCATCAAGAATCAGACATGACTGAATGGATAACATCATCATCATATTGATCATGGTGTTTTGTCCCAGCAGATGACAATATCTGGCATATCTTTTCCACACTTAACAGATAAGCAAATTGTTATCTAAAATTCCAGGGCTATAGGCTAGATTGGAAAAAAATCTTGGAAGAAGGCAGTGGCGAACAATTCCATTATGTGATTTAAAAAAAACATCCATGAATGAGCCTGACTCAAAAGAGATTTTACAATAATGATCAGTTTTCAGTTGCCTGTTATTTATATTTCAGTTAGCTCCTGAAATAAATATGGATGCATTGCTCACAGAAGTAGAACTGATAAAATTTTCATAGCTACATCTCAGGAAAAATACTCAGAGAGAGGTGATTCTACAATACTTAATACATTTCTTTAGGCATTTTCAAAAGGTGAAATTAGATAATGATGTTTTGGAATATTGCAGAAATGCTTTTGTTTCTGCTTGCTTATGGATGTACTTTATTAATGTGAACAATATCTACAAGGTAAATAAGGTCAGATACTAGATTTAATTAGTTCTGCCTTGTTTATGAAAATGTGCAAAGCTTGTGTAGCTTCTGTAGGTGGCAGTGTTGATTAAGGATCAAGATTATTGTATTTTATGTGCAATATTCTGAAAATGCAATCGTTTATACTCATCAGAATATAGAATACAGTTGGAGGTTTTACTGACAAATGGCATAGTTGATGCTTGTGATGATGATGTCTAGAAGAATAACTGTATGGCAGATGTTATATTGTTTCTACAATATACAGAAGTTATAAACTTCCAGAAGTTATGTGCTCTGCAGAAAAACATACGGTATGGTAAGCATATTGTGGTGATGATAGTTTGAGTAGACAGGTGGAGAATAAAATTTTCCTTTTTTTTAAAAAAAAAAATCTGATTATAAATTCATAAGACATTTCTTTCTTGAAATAATTATTCAAGTTAGACAAAGAATGAATAGATTCATTCTTGCAGCCAGTTTTAAAAAAGTAATTGGGATTCATTTCCCTAATATAGTTAGGATTTAGACTAATGGATGTAGTGAATGTAGAATTGGTGAACCAATGAATGTGGTGGGGGATCCCTGACACCAGGAAGATCTGATGGAAATGGTTTCCTCAACACCATTTTGTTCATTCATAAGTTTTTTATTATAGCTGTGCTTATGTTGGTCTTAGGAGCTGCCTGTACTTTCTTTAGAGACCTGTGCAAAAACCTACTTATCTGTTGCAGCATTCCTTATGTCAGGAGCAGATCCGTATATCCTGCTTCTGTGCTTTTCTTTTACAGTGGCACTCTGGCTTTTTTTTAGCAGTTTTTTTTAGCAGTTTAGCAATTTTATTAGCTACTGCTAATAAGATTGTATTTTAGGGTATTTTCTTACTGGTACTAAATAACTGGAATAACATCATAATTGCTCTGCTTGAGCTGTTTTTCTCCATTCCTCTTCCAAATTTAAGATACCACCAGCCTCTTGTTGCATGTTATTTTATAATTTAAATACACTGAAGATAATTCTTTTCAATTGGCTCTCATTTCATTTAAAATTATTGTTGCTGCAATATTTTAAAAAAACATTTATTTATATACCCAAGTGTTCTTCCTAAAGTACGGTATCTTGTATCATTCTCAGTAGCATCTTAATGTGTTGTTGGAATCTAGCTGGCTCTCTTAAATTCCTGAGAACAAATGTACCTCTTCATCTATTTAAATTATTTTTTTATATTTGTAGGTGTGTGATTCTTAACCTATTTATGAGAATTTATATAACAACAACAACAACAACAATAATAATAATAATAATAATAGTCCAGTGGTCTAGTCCAACCACCTGCTCAGGCAGGAAACCCTGTACCATTTCAGACAAATGGTTGTCCAGTCTCTTCTTAAAAATTTCCAGTGTTGGAGCATTTACAACACTGGAGGCAGGTTTTTCCACTGATTAATTGTTCTAACTATCAGGAAATTTCTTCTTAGTTCTAGGTTGCTTCTCTCCTTGATTAGTTTCCATCCATTGCTTCTTCTCCTGCCTTCAGGTGCTTTGGAAAATAGCTTGACTCCCTCTTCTTTGTGGCAACCCCTGAGATATTGGAACACTGCTATCATGTCACCCCTCGTCCTTCTCTTCATTAAACTAGACATACCCAATTTCAGCAACCGTTCTTTATATGTTTTAGCTTCCAGTCCCCTAATCATCTTTGTTTCTCTTCTCTATACTCTTTCTAGAGTCTCAACATCTTTTTTACATCGTGGTGACCAAAACTGGATGCAGTATTCCAAGTGTGGTCTTACCAAGGCGTTATAAAGTGGTATTAACACTTCATGTGATCTTGATCCTATCCCTCTGTTAATGCAGCCTAGAACTGTGTTGGCTTTTTTAGCAGCTGCAGCACACTGCTGGCTCATATTTAAATGATTGTCCACTAGGACTCCGAGATCCCTCTCACAGTTATTACTATTGAGCAAGATACCACCTATACTGTACCTATGCATTTGGTTTTTCTTGCCTAAATGTAGAACCTAATGCACAAGTAAAATGGCCCCTAATTAGCTTTATCATTTGATCCATCTGTTATCCACTTTAGTTGTTGTTTAGTTGCTAAGTCATGCCTGACCCTTCGTGACCCCTTGGACCACAGCATGCCCCCCCCATCCTCTACTGTGTGCTGGAATCTGCCCAAACTCATGCCCACTGTGTCAATGACACTATCTAACCATCTTATCCTTTGCCGTCCCCTTCTCCTATTACTTTTAACCTTTTCAAACATCAGGGTCTTTTCCAATGAATCCTGTCTTCCCATTTGATGGCCAAAATACTAAAGTACGATAAGAGCTTCGGCTTCAGTATCTACCCTTTCAAAGCACAGTGGGGTGATTTCCTTTAGGATTGATTGATTTGATCTCCTTGCAGTCCAAGGGATTCTCAAGAGTCTTCTTCAACAGCACAATTCAAAAGCATCATTTCTTCAGCACTCAGCCTTCCTTATGGTCCAACTCCCACAACCATACATTATAAACTTTTATCCTTTTGGTACTGTCCGTGGGGTTTTCTTGGCAAGGTACTAGAGTGGGTTGTCATTTCCTTCTCTATCTGTGGTGGCCCTGCACATCTTAGCTCATAGTTTCTTTGAGCTGCCAAAGCTGTTTTGTCACAACAAGGTAATGAAAGGGATTCATTTTAATAAGGGATCCAAAATAATTTATTAAATTAAACTTAACTTGAAATAAATAAAAAAGGAAACAAAATTCCTTTGAAATATCTCTAAACCTATAACTGAAGAAGGTGATATGAATGCTTTCTTATTCTTCCTAAAAAGTATCCCAAATATTTTAAGTGGTTATAGGAATGTTTCACAAATCTGTTAGCATAAGAGGATTAAAATTGTATATAAAATCCTGATTCTTTTCTTTCTTCTATTCTCTCCTTTGAAGCCAATAAATATTGTGTGATACAAATTTATCATAGACCTATTTAATTGTATTTTAGTGTGATCTGTATATTCATGAATCTCACATATTTTCTCACCAGCTACAACTATGGCTTCTCAGTTACATGCAACAGAATTTTCAGAGATATTAATGCACAGTTAGTTGTGGTACTGTTTTTAGTATTTGACAAATGAAAAGAGATTGACTTAGTCCCAAGTTATTTTCTTAAATTAAATTGTCTTTCCTTTAGGTCTTTGTCTAGAAAAATTACCAATATCCTCTTCAACAAGCAACCTCCATGCAAATCGTGAGCAGGAAATTATAATGTGCTATGAGAAGGCCGGGGATATAGCCCTTCTGTATCTCCAGGAAATAGAAAGGGTAAGATGGGAATAGGTAATCTCAATAAAGTAACTAATTTTCATTTTTTATTTTAGTTTACTTTTTCTCTTTCCCGGGATTACTCTCTTCTGTATATGGCTTTAAATTTCTTTTTAAAAAGATCCAACAATTTACTATTTGGTTTAAATAACCCATTCTTCCCTCTACGTATATAGTTTATTTTAATAATTCCAGCTAAAAAACAGAAGCATCAATCCTCTTTTATCTGTTCTAATTTTTTACATGCCATAATAGGGTACCCATTATTTCTTGGAATTGAATAACCTCCATGAATGACTGATTTCAGGCATTCTAGATGAAAATAGTCCATTATTTTCTATTGAGAATTATATGATTCTTTATCCCTGCCTTAAGAAAATGACTTTTCTGCACAAAATGCAGAAAAACTTCCCTGAATAGAATTCACATAATAAAAGCAGTTTTCCCTATGATATTCTCAAGTTTTCTTTGGTAATGTGCTAAAACTTGGTTTTTAATGAAAGCTGGCATTCCCATGACTTATTGATTGTGTGATTTTTAAACAACATAGAGTTGGCTGTTCTTTATATTCCTACTTTATTTTCCCACGCTATAAAATGGATTCATAGGAATTTATTATACTAAATTGTTACTTAAATTTCAGAATGCTGCTATAAGAAGCATTGTATCATTTTTTTCCTCAGTTTTTTTCCATAGCAGTTGCAACTTATATGAACATTTAATGATGGGATGATTGTTATTTCCATTCATAATATTTGTCTATATCAGTGGTGGCGAACCTATGGCACGGGTGCCAGAGGTGGCACTCAGAGCCCTCTCTGTGGGCACGTGTGCTGTCCCCCCAGTTGTAGGCCTTCAGCTGGGTTTTATAAAACCTTTTTGCTTTAGGTTCAATCAATCAGTCAATTTCAACTCGTTGTGGGGGGAAAAAAAGATCTTGCAAAGTTGGAATTGATTGAACTTTTTAGTCCCACCCAGTCTGCTGTTACCAC